TTACAACTTTTGTTCACCAACAGACTCACGTTGAAATCTGGTTAGTGGTTTTAGGGGTTTTTTTTTTTTTTTTTTTCACCCCCCCCCCCCCCCCCCGGAGTTCAATTAACTCTCTTCATTTCTTCCTGTCCATCTCCCATTCCGCCCCCAGCATCACTTGTTAGTTTGGAATTTCTGGTTTCAATTGCTTTCCACGTCGTCAGATTCCCAGTTGACTATGTCTAGTTCTGTTGGTGCTACGGTTTGGATAAGGTTTGACCTTGACAAAACTCACGTTGAAATCTGGTTAGTGGTTTTGGGGGTGTGGGGCCTTCAAGAGGTGACAAAGTCTTTAAGAGGTGATCAAGTCAGTGAGAGGGATTAGTGTCTTTCTCTGGAAGACGGGATTAGTCCTTTTGAGAATGGAGTGGTTTTCTGAGAGCAGGGTGTGGCAAAAGTGAATGGGCTCCTTTGTCCCCTCCCTCTCTGCAGCCCTCCTTGCTCCCTACTCTTGCATAGGCGCCAAATCTGCCATGCTATGTGACACAGCACAATGCTCTCACCAAAAGCAGCTACCATTCTTGAATTTCCCTGTGCCCGAACCATGAGCTAAACAAACCTTTTCTTTATAAACTACCCAATCTCAGGTGTTCTGTGATAGCCACAGAAAATGGACAGAGACATGTGAGGGCTGCTTACAATCTCTTTCTACTTCATATTGGGTCTTCAGAGGAAGGGTATGGTTATTTGTTGATCTGTGGGAAACTTCTATTCCTTTCTTTATGTTTAATTTGTTCTAATTAATTATACATGACAGTAGAATGCCTTTTGACACATCATAAATAAATGGAGTACAACTGCTCATTCTTCTGGTTGTACGTGATGTAGAATTACACCAGTCATGGAATCATATATGCAAATAGGGCAATAATGTCTGATTCAACTATCCTTCCTACCTCCATATGCCCTCCCCTCTCTCATTTCCCTCTGTATAATCCAAAGTAACTCAATTCTTCCCCAGCCACCCCCTTATTATGAATCAACATTAGAGAAAATATTCAGCTTTTTGCTCTTTAGGATTGGCTTATTTCACTTAGCATGATAGTCTCCAATTCCATCCATTTACTGGCAAACAACCATGGTTTCATTCTTCTTAAAGGCTGAGTAATATTCCATTGTGAATATATACCACAACTTCTTTATCCATTCATCTATTGAAGGGCACCTAGGTTGGTTCCATAGCTTAGTTATTGGGAATTGAACTGCTATAAACATTGATGTGGCTGCGTCACTGTAGTATGCTGATTTTAAGTCCTTTGGGTATTAACCAGGGAGTGGATAACTGGGTCAAATTGTGGTTCCATTCCAGGTTTTCTGAGAAATCTCCATACTGTTTTCCAGAGTGGTGGCACCAATCTGCTGTCCCACCAGCAACGTATGAGCGTACCTTTCCCCCCACAACCTTGCCCACACTTATTGTGGCTTGTATTCTTGATGATTGCCATTCCGACTGGCTACTCCTGACTTTATATGGTAGCTGTGTATGCATGAAGTCGAGTCTGTTTGGGGGTTGCTGGGTATTTGATGATCTTCCTAGTTTAACAGCCTCCTCTTTCAGCCGTGAAGTCTGAGGACTCAGCACGCTTCTGTCTTGCTGGTGGGGGAAGGGTGAGCTCTCCTCTTTATTTCTGGATTTTAGGGTTCTCTGTTGTTGTCGTCATGGCTGTTTTGCGGGGCTCTACCTCTTTCTTGCTTTTTCCTTCGCCACCCGCTTGTTGCAGGGTGCTTTTTCTCCATTCCCTTTTGCCTTCTTTTCTCTCCTGGAAGCTATGATCATTTTCCTATAAATCATGTCTGTCCCTTTAATGAGGCTCTGCCTCACTTTGGGGCCCAGAGCAAAGGAGTCCCCTGACCCTGGGCTAAATCTCTGAAACCAAGAGCCAACGTGAGCTTTCCCTCCTCTCGGCTGCTCTGGCTGGGAATTTTGACCCCTGCAGCAGCACAAAGCTAACTCAATTATCTTTATTATTTTTTTTTGTTCTATTTACCTTTGGTTTAATTTGTATTTCCTTTCCTGCTTAAGATTCAAACTTTAGATTTTTTTCTAAAAAAATGTAAGCATTTTTTTCATTCTGATATAGATATTTAACGCTATCAACTTCACTATATTTTAACTGCAACCCACAAATTTCGATATGTTAAGTTTTCATTACTGTGAAGCTTGAAATATTTTGTTCTTTGAACCATGGAATATTTAGAAATGTGTATTTGGGGACTTTCTAGATATTATTTTGTTAAGGATTTCTGATTTACCCCGGTGGTTGCCAGAGAATATATTCTATATGATTTCATTCTTTTGAAATATTTTGAGACTTATTTCATGGTCCAGGACATGGTCTATCTTGGTGGATATTTCATGTCCATTTGAAAAGAATTATACTCTGCAGTTGCTGGGTACAGATTTTTGTAAATGTCAATTAGGTCAGTGTGGTTGACAGTGTTCATATTTTATGTCTTTATTGATAATTTGTCTTGTTCTATCATTAGTGAGACAAGGATGTTAAAATCTCTAAGTATGATTGTGGATTTGTCTATTTCCCCCTTTGGTTCTCTCTGTTTTAGCTTTATTTATTTTAGTTTTTACCATCCATCCATCCATCCATCCATCCATCCATCCATCCAGGTTTTGGTACTGAGGAATGAACCCAGGGGCACTTTAACACTGGGCTACATTCCCAACCATTTTTATTTTATTTTTTTATTTTGAGAAAGGGTCTCTGTAAGTTGCTTAGGGTCTTGCTAAGTTGCTGAGGCTAGCCTCAAACTTGTGATCCTCCTGCCTCAGCCTTCTGAGCAGTCACAGGAGTTACAGGGTGTGCCACCATGCCTGGCAGCTTTATGTATTAATCTCTGTTATCTGGCATAAACACATTTAGTATCATTAGATCTTCCCAATGAATTGTTCCCTTTATTATTATGAAACATCTCTCTTTTTCTCTAATAATACCCTTTGACTTTGATGTCTACTTTCTCTAAAACAAACACAGCAAAGCCAGTTTTCTATGCTTATTGTTTGGATGGTATATCTTTTCCTTTTTTTTTTTTTTTGGTAAATTTCTCTGTGTCTTTAAATTTAATATGTGCCTCTTTTAGATATTTTATAATTGGATCTCACTTTTTAAAAATCCAGTCTGACAATCTCTCCTTTTTAGTTGACATATTTGATCCATTCACACTTAGTGTAATCACTAATGCAGTTACGTTCCCACCTAGCCTTTTGTGTCTGTTTTCCTTCTGGTCTTCTTTTGTTTGTTCATTTTGCTTTCTTCTACTCTGTTGTGCATTTCCAGATTTCTGTTCAACTACTCAGTATTTTGTGATACTCGGTTTTATTTTCATTTGTTGGCTTTTTTAGCTCTGTTTTATTATTTTCTAAGCAGCTGGGCTAACAATACACATCTATAACTCCAGCAGAGTTGACTTAAAGTTAACAATGTATCCCTTTGTACTTCCTCTACACATCTGTCCCTTCCCATTTCTGATTATTATTCTGACATTGTGTTCTTTGAAGCAGACTTCAGGACCAAATTATATCACTAATTGAAAAATGGACCAAATACTCCAGTTAGAAGGCAGAATATGATCAGTCTGGATTTCAAAGTAAGACTCAACTATAAGCAGTGTAAAATCTCTATATCAGGAAAGAGCACCTGGACCGCGAGGAGTATCAGAGAGACAGACTAGGGGATATTTGAGGAAGGTCAGCAAATCTTGGGCACGGGGCTTACAGCAGGATAAAACGAGTCTTGCACTTTCTGCCTCCCTAGCTCAGCCTCATAGGTGTTCTGGAACATTCCTCTGAGTGTTCTGGCAGCTGTCTAATCATGGTATTTTGAGCTAAGAATCATATGAGGTTACATGTGAGCTATCTCCTACCCAAAGAGCAGGAGCCCAGTGACAGAGCTTTGCCTTCATTTGCAAACCTCTGGTCTAGCTCTGGACCCCTGGTTTCTGCAGGGGCCATGTCTATGTCTGATACACACAATCCCAAGAAAGGAGGACCCCGAGCAGGTACAGCTTCCTCCTGTGAAGTCCACACTCGCTGGCCTGCCCAGCCTGGTGGTCAGAGGGTGCTGGCCTGCCCAGCCTGGTGGGCAGAGGGTGCTGGCCCTGACTGTGCACAGCAGACAGAGGTAGCCACACTTTGCACTGGGGCTCACCAGGGAGGCAGCGTGGTTGTCACCATGGATGTGGGCACAACTGGCATCGAGCAGATGGAAGCCAAGGAGGCTAGACGCCCTGTGCTGCCCTTGACAGACCATCCCCCTGGACATTCTTGTATGTGAAAAACCTATTTGCACTTCTCTGAGTTTGGAGCCTAGCTTCCTATGTCACGTAAACAAAACTATTTTTGTATTTTTTAAAAAAATATATACTGTATCTGCTCAGAATTCAAACACCATGAAAACCAAGGGAAGGGTTTTCACCACTGGCACCCCAACCTTGCCCACACTGGGTTTGACACAAACACGTCCATCTACACTTAAGGCCATGACACCTGGGGTGATCCTACATCTAGAACAGGGGAGGGAGGGAGACTCTCCAAGCAGAGGGAGCAGCACGTGCAAAGGCCCTGCAGTATGAGGGAGTGACTTATGTTGCCAAAGGGGAGTAGACCACTGAAACTGGGCAGAGTGGGCATGGGAGGATGAAACCCCAGGAGCCTGGCCTATGCTGAGCGTAGCACCACGAGCGGCCGAGGAAGGCTTTGGGTTACAGGAGTGAGGTGAAGTGTGAAGGTGCTTCCCCCTGAGATCCCGGCCTGTGGATGACTGGTGGAACCGCCTCTCAGGACCCGAACCCAGGAGATGAAGACCGCACCGACATTCTGCTCATCCATCTCCCCCGGGGCCTCTTAGACCCCCAACCTGCGGCAAACTCACCTGACTCTGCCACCTCGGCAATGGGTACCCCCTGCTCGTATGCCATGAAGCCCAGGACTGAGAAGATGGCAAACCCGGCCACGAAGCTGGTGCCGCTGTTCAGGCAACAGAGCATGATGCAGTCCCTGTGGGGAAGCAGCAAGAGAGACTCAGGTCAGAGTGGGTAGGACAGGTGCATTGCCGGAACACTGTCCACCTGAGCACTGTGGGGGGGCAGGCAGGGAAGTGAGGGCATGGACAGCCCCATTTCCCTGGTGAAGCACCCATAGTTCAGAGAGGTTAGGTGGCCGGCCCACGGTCACACAGCTTCTCCTGCATTTCTCCAAGATAAGGTAGGGCATGGATCACAAGCACGGAGAGGGGGTGTGAAGGAAGGAACGGAGGCTGGCATGTGGTACAGTGCCGATCGAGCGAGAAGAAACCTGGGAGACAAACCAACACTCTCCTGAATCCTTGGAAGGAGAGAAAGCCAGGGAAAGGAGAGGATTATATTCCTGGGAACTCAAAACTTAGAGGATGGGAGAAGCCTCCCTGAGAGATGGCTGCCTCTGAGCCAGGGGACCAACCCGGACCTCACGCCTGGTGCTCCAGCTGCTTCTCGGGGAAGAGGTTTTATCGTGACATCCATCTGGGACCAAACCAACTGCCGACCAGAGCCACATCTCACAGAACTCACGGCTCAGTCTCTGTTCCGCTGCTATGAGGAGCAGCCCCTTCCAGCATGGACCCCTCGTGGAGGGATTTACTGGGGCAGTGGCTCTCATCTGCTCTTGAGAGGGACTCGCTGGCCAAGAAGCACCCGCTGCACAAAGCCCAGGAGAAATCAGACTACAAATGTCAGGGCTTCGTCAACCTGGAGAAAACGGATCCCTGACGTCTCAGCCTGTTGCCAAGTCGGGGCATCCGCCTCTCAGAATCCCAGCCACCAAAGAGCATGGGTTGGGGGGGCTGTGGCTTGGGCACACGGCCTGTGTCAATGCCCTGCCATGACTCAGGGCGGGACAGTGACCCAGTGGGTGGCGAGCCTGCTTCTTCAGGACCCTCCCCTGTTCTCAGTAGTCCCTTCCCCCTGCTGGACTACACCAACTGCTTAGACTGCAAGAGACCAAAACCTGCCTTCTCTGAAAAGTTTTGGTTTTACCCTCAAAAAAAAAAAAAAAAAAAAAAAATAGCCTGGCGCTCCTTCAGGCTGGGGAGATCTAAAGATAGTGGACTTATATCCCTTTGAGTTTTCTGTTCTCCCAGTTCAACATCCCAGTTCCGTTACCAGCTCTTCATCCTGCTCCTGATCTCTAATGTACCCCCCGCTCGCCAAGCCCCTCTTCAATTATTATATCCGGGACTGAGCACGAGGCTCAGGCACGGAGTGAGACGTTCACCTCCTCTTCTCCTGACACTGTGCTTCATGTAATGCAACCAAAGGTGATAAGAACATGGTTGGCGACTGACACGATGATTCTAAGGGAGAGCATCTGGACTAGGAGTCAGGACCCTGGGGTTCCAGTCCTCCCTGCAGTATCTTTATTTGGGGTCTGATCTCACCCACGGCGAGGCCAGCTGTTTGGGTAACTGGGTCTCTTGGGATTTGTGTCCCATCAAATCACTCTCAGCAAGCTGTCACTCCTGCTCCCTTCTCCCTGGAGACAAGTATATTTCCCTGCCCCGCCAACTCTGGCCTTGGCCATGTGACTTGCTGTGGACAACGAGACGTAAGCCAATGTGACACAAACAGAGGCTTGAGTTGTGCTGGCCTAATTGGACTTGTCCTTTATCATTTCTGTGATTTTCCATGAGAAGAATTCCTCAGGGGAGCTGCCATCTCTTCAGCCTGGACCCCAGAATGCACACACATGGCACGCACTTGAGCTTGGCCTGGAGTTAGACTCACCCAACCCTCAGCCCGGAGAGTTTCCCTGGCTGATGGGCAGCCTGGAGAGCAGTAAGAGCAAATGTTTGCTACGGTCAATCTTCCCTGAGGTCTGGGGCTGTTTGTTACACAGCATTAATGTGGCACTGGATGACTGATACAGGTTTGTTTTTTTTTCCCAAACCGCTCTGTGAATGCCGGCTGGGCTGGTAGCCCTGCCACATTATCTGCAAACCTCGTTTGCCTCTGCTATAAAGGAAACTCAGTCCAGGCCTGGATGAGGGCCAAGCTCTTCTTAAGGCAGAGACAAATCTGCTTCTCCTGCCTGGGTCCTGGAGTCTGGGGTAAAATGGCCCTGCTTTATTGAACAGAGTGACATGAGATGGTGCTGGGAATGCAATGGACGCTTTGCCTCCACGTGGGCCACATTTTGGACTTCTCCTGTATTATTCTTATTTGTTTTGGGTACCAGAGATTGAACTCAGGATGTGGCCCTCAACCCCAGAGCCACATCTCCAGCCCTATTTTGTATTTTATATAGAGTCAACTCAGGGTTTCCCTGAGTTGCTTAGCACCTTGCTTTTGCTGAAGCTGGGTTTGAACTCACCATCCTCCTGCCTCAGCCTCCTAAGCCGCTGGGATTACAGGTGTTCACCCCCATATGCCTGGCTCCTATATCGTTTTTAAAGGAGCTGCAGCCAGCGTGTCAGGCCCTACACTAGGTTTCACTCAGCCCTGGAGGACCAGAAAAGGAGAATCATCTACTGCAAGTCTCACAGTCAGTTGTGAAGTTTGGGGTGCGTCTCAGATGCTGTTTCCAGGAGCTAAACAAAAATGATGTGCCCCAAGAAGTAAGACTTCCAGAGCCCGGGTTATGGACAGTTATCGCTGGGCATCCATACAGAGGGTGAAAAAGAAAATGTCGTCAGTTACAAAATCCCCATCTTCCTGCAGAGGTCTCTTGGGTGACTTCCTCAAACCACAGAGTGACAGGCAGACAGAGAGAGAAGCTCTCAAGGGCCCTAGGGTCCCTTCCATCCCTGCGACCTGCTCGCCAGTCCCCAGGGCATCCACGCCTTCAGGCAGTTGTAGCCTAGTGCTGTGTGCTCTGAGGGGATGCTCTCCCCTGTCCGTGTGGGTCCATTCCCATCCCTCTAATTCCTTCCCTGCGCCAGCGCCAGCACTGCTTAGGTGAAGCCTTACGTAACCAGTGCTTTGAAGTCAGCAGGAGCTCAGCTGGGCTGGTAAGACCTCCAGAAGCGATTATGCTGTCAGGAGAGAGGGTATTAATTTACTCCGTCTGAGATGGGAAAGACCCGCTTGCAGAACGATTTTGAAACAGGACTAAAATGAGCCTTCTGATTTTGCAATGTCACCTAGGGTATTTGCTTTCTTCTGCTGATAAGAGACAGAAAGGAAAAAAAATAATAAAATCCCTGGCTGTCGGATGGGAAAGCAGAAGGATTGGGGGTAGCTGGTATCGGTCACTCGTGTGCACATTTGGAAGAAGCAACTGCCCAGGGACCCAGATTGGTGACAAGACAGCCTCGGCCAGATTCAGTTCTAATAGCCTGGAAGGAACTGGCCATCCGTGGAAGTGAGGAATAGGGGTACCAGGGCCAGGAAAGCCATATTCTATCACCAGCAATGGGAACACAAGCAAGTGACTTAAATTCCATGGGCCACCGTCTCCTTGTCTGTACAAGTGACAAATGGGTGTCTTACGGCATGAAAGTCACAGGAGACCTGGCCCACAGGATACAGGGAGAATGAGAAACCTTGCTGGTGTCCTCTTGCTCCTGATGGCCTGGCTGGACGGGATAGTCAGTGACCACGGGATTCCCAGTGTCCAGAGACTGAATTCGGGGCCCTCGACCACTGCGCCACATCCCCAGCCCTATTTTGTGTATTATTGAGAGTCAGGGTCTCACTGAGCTGCTTGGGGCCTTGCTTTTGCGAGGCTGGCTTTGAACTCACCATCCTCCTGCCTCAGCCTCCCAAGCCGCTGGGATTACAGGGTCCCGTGCTGAGTGCCAGCACCTCTCTGAGACAACCCAAGGGGGTCATCGTCAGCCTGTGCTGGGAGCCTGCTTGTGCTGCTGTCCCTAGCTGAGGGCCTCTCCCTTGCTGCCCGGGGTTCCCATTTCATACTGTGGTTGACAAACTGCCTGACCTCTCAACCCCGAGACCCATCTCCTCTGTGACAGCCCGGAGCACAGCGAGGGTCTTACAGAAACCTGGCCCAACCGCCCACCTCTCCGGCATCCCTCCTTCCAGCCATACTCAACTGCCCCTCAGCCCAAGGGCCCCAGAAACAATGGCACTTGTGGCCTAAGGTACACTGAATGACATGGTAGCTTTTCTTTTCAGCATGTTGGCTCTGTCTACTTAAAAAAAAAAAAAATTCCTCGGTGCCTCAGTTTCCCCAAATGACAAACTCGACAGACTGGGTCACTACTGTCGGTCTCCTGTGCCGCCCATTCCACTGCCTCATGCTCTGCAGACACACAGATGTCACGGCAGACCCTGCAGACTTGACAAACGGGTTCGTGAAGGGAGCACGAAGGTGGCTTCCAGAGAGCCCTGGGAGGGACAGCGGAGAGCCTGGTCAGAGCCCAGACTCCACCACCTCCACCTGGGGACCACCTCCGGGAGCCCCGATTTCCCTTTCTCAGAGACGGGGAGAATGGGGGAGGGGCTGGACCATCCACAAAAGGTCTTTCAAGTGGCGATTCCACGGGAGCCAGGCCGTGGTCCGGTTCTGTGGTCACCGGTTCCCGGCCCAGGGGCACGCGCCCCTCCCACATGCCCTCACCTACACTGAACGGGGATTCGTTTTTGGGGTTACTGCTCATGTTCTAGTTTAGAAAAATAATCTTGTTTTTATAAGAGTCTGTTGCTTATTTTTCTTTTCTCTTCTTAGTTATTTACTTTGCTTGCTGGGGATGGAACCCAGGGCCTCATGTAGGCTGGACATGTACTCCACCACCACGCTGCACACCCAGCCCTAATAGGACTTCTCCCTCTCCCTCCCTCCCTCCCTCTCTCTTTCATTGTACGGGGGACTGAACCCAGGGTGCTCTATCACCGAGCCACGTCATCCAGCCCTTGTGAATTTTTATTTTGACGCAGGGTCTTGCTAAGTTGCCCATTAGCCTGCCCTGTGCACTCTCCTGCCTCAGTAGCTAGGGTCACAGGCATGGGCTCCTCCCCTGTGCCTGGCTATAGTTTATTTTTCTTTTGTATTTTAGTGTTTTTCATATTGACACATTCATCACCTTAACATAGTATGGATCTAACCCCACTGAATATCATATTATATACTACTACACCCTTTAATTTTGAGGATGATTTTCATATTTTATTTAGAGATAAACATACAGGGGTTGTGGCTCAGTGGTAGAGTGCTTGCCTAGCATGCATGAGGCGCTGGGTTCGATTCTCAACATCGCATATAAATAAAAAGAATAAAATAAATGTCCATCAACATCTAAATAAAATACAACATGTAGATATTTGTACTAACTTTTTTTTTTTTTAAATTAAAGTCAACAGGTACTCACAGTAATAGGAAAAAAAACCAGAAAAATGTCTTAATGGTATAGGAAATATAAATGATGGGGGGCATCTCCGCCCCCTGACTTCCCAGGCCTAGTCTCTAGGCTATTTTGAACACTTTTTAAAAATTTCTTTATAGGGCTGGGGATGTGGCTCAAGCGGTAACGCGCTCGCCTGGCATGCGTGGGGCACTGGGTTGGATCCTCAGCACCACATAAAAATAAAATAAAGATGTTGTGTCCAACTAAAAACTGAAAATTAAATATGAAAAAAAAATTCTCTCTCTTCAAAAAAAATTCTTTATAGAAAATTTTAAAGTTTAGAAGTCTAACATTTAACAATCTAAATTTTTAAAAAATATTTATTTTTTAGTTGTAGTTGGGCACAATATCTTTATTTATTTACTTTTATGTGGTGCTGAGGATAAAACCCAGGGCCCCGCATGTGCTAGGCAAGTGCTCTACCATTGAGCCACAACCCCAGCCCCAACAATCTAGATTTCTGCTGGGTGTGGTGATATACACCTATAATCCCAGCAACTCAGGAGGCTGAGTCAGGAGGATTGCAAGTTCAAGGCCAGCCTTAGCAACTTAGTGAGAATCTGTCTCAAAATAAAAAATACAAAGGGCTGGGGATGAGGCTCAGTGGTTAAGCATCCCTGGGTTCAATCCCCAGTACTAAAAGAGAAAAAAAAATTGTAGATTTTTACATGAGCCAATGTCACTCTCTTTCTTTGTGATTTCTTTTTTTCTAATGATTTTTACATGTTTTCCCCATTCTAAAATTAAATATTTTATTATTCATTATTTGATGATAGTTCCCTTTCAAAATTTAACTCTTTAGTTAATTGTATTATGTGACTATATGGGATGAGGTTTGAGGATCTAACTTATTTCTTCTGAATATTCATCTCAGAATCACTTGTTCCAACCCTGTTCCTTTCTCCACCAACATGTGACAGAGAACGGCTTTGCTGTCATTATTCCACAGTCTTATCTCTGGTGATCTTGGGGTCTTAGAAAGAGACCCTCTACCATCCACCTGTAAGTACTCCCCTATCCTGTGCAGGGCTCTGAGTCCAGAGGTGCAGAGACCTCAACCAACAGATAATCACGGCACAGATTTCACTTGCCCCTGTGCTGCTGGGAAACTCTAGGCATGTGCAGGTCTCAGCCCTGCTGTGGGGCTCACCTTGCCTGCCACCTGGGTATGGCCATATATAGGAGGTCAGGGAGGGAGGCCGGTCAGGCCAAGGGGCAAGGCGGGGCAGCAGCCACTCTAAGTGGGACAGGAGAGAACCCTACAGTCAAGTAAGACGGGCAAGGAAGCCGATTTGTGAATAGATGGTGGAAGGATAAGCCCTTCTGTGCTGGAACACCTGGGTCACGTGTTGATGATGCCACTCGTGAGCTGCGTGACCTTGGGCAAGTTCCTTGCCGGCTCTGGGCTAAATTTGTGCCTCCATGTAAGGTGACACGGACAGGGCGGATTCACCTTGCAGCAGACTCTGATTGCACTAGTAACCCTACCTCCTCTGATGGCCCCTTCTTTGACCCTTGGGCAGGAGGAGGTCAGCAAGCAGCCCATATGTTCCCTCCTGGGCCCCGCAAGGCAGGCAGCTGAAGGAACTGGTGTGATGCTGCAGAGGGTCCCCGGGAGCAGGGAGGAGGGCAGGCGGGGCCCGGGGGTGCTCACCTGTAGCAGTTGTTGTTGTAATTGTTATAGCTTCCCAGAGCAGTCAGGCAGCCCAGGCAGATGGCGTAGGAGAAGAAGATCTGCGTCCCGGCATCGACCCACACCTGCAGGAAGGACAAAGAAGTGGACATAGAGGTGAGTTCAGGTGTGTGTGTGTGTGTGTGGTGGGGGGCGGTGTCTTGTTTTCTGATATCCCCCACCCGCCATAAAAATGTCCACAAAGGAATCATCAAACTTCCTAATCTTCTCAGGACCCCCTTTTAAGAAGTCCTAGTTTTGTGGACTTCCTGATGAAATACCTACATCCTGAGTGAATTCCAGAATTTTCCAGAGGTCATGGATAAAAGCTCACAGAGTGGAATGAATTTGGATATTGAGGACCCTGGTTTCAGCTGTGTGCCCTTGGAAAAGTGACTTAAGCTCTCTGAGGCTTAGTGTCCTTACCTGCAAAGTGGATAAAAAAAAACTTGTCTGTCATTCAAGTAAGGAACACAGTCAGGAGACTCTTCAAGGCTTGCATTTGGACAGCCTCCCTGAGCACAGGGGAGGCGGGGAAGTGGTCACCAGGGGCTCTCTTGGAGCTCGGCTCCCAGAACTTACCAAGGAAAATCTACAGCTAAAGCACAAATGCAGCTGATGAGACTCATGCTTGGGCATTATGCACCCTCTAGAGAATGGCATTTGGCACTAAATACAGAAAACAGCACTTATTAGGCACTTATGATGTGCCGGGCACCTTGCTCAACCTTGACACAATGACCACATGAATATTCACAGCATCAATGTGCAGGAGGGACTGTTAGCTCCTTTTTACAGCCTAAGGAGACTGAGGAACAGTGAGGGTGAGTAACATGCCCAAGATCACACAGCTGGGAAGGGGTGGAGGCAAATCCATGGAGGCCCATCTTTAGAGGTGCATGCTTAACTGGTCTCAGAATTTCAGATTTTTGTTTTGTTTTGTTTTTAGCACTGCTGGGGATTGAACCCAGGGCCTCACACATGCTGGGTAGGCCTTCTACCACTGGGATACAGCTTGGATTTTGAGATTTGGAAACAGTCTCAGAAGTCCCCTGGTGTAACCTCTCTCCCAACACAGGACTCTCTTCTCAGTACTTCTGATAGAAGATTCTCTGATTCCTGTCAATGACAGGAAGGGCACCATCTCTAGACACAGATAATTTCTTCTTTAGAGAGTCAGACTGTTAGCTTATGTTTTAAAATAAGAAGAATTCCTTTCCAACTGCTGGGGTCATGCGACCACATCTTTCTCTTCTGCCTGGCAGTACTTTAGAGGTCTGAAGAAATTGGCTCCCTATTGAAACCCCAACCTCTCTCATTTCCAGATCAACTATCTATATGTCCTCTCTCTTGGGGATTTGATTACCTGGTTCAGGTCACTCTACTCTGGAGTTTCTCAAATCTGTTACATCTTTCGACAGACTCCAGGGCTTGCCTCTTGATCTAAGGCATGGATTATTATTTTTTTTTCTCCTCGAAGCTGGCTCATTGGGTCTGATCTTGCAGCTCCATGAAGAATTCAGGGAGGGCTATTTCATGAAGTGGGGCTGGGGATGGAGAACACCAGCAGGCCCGAGAGGAAGCAATGGAAAGAGGGAATAAAAATAAAAAATAAAAAAGGATCTCTCCAGATGTGGAGGCGCAGGCCTGTAATCTCAACAGCTGGGGAGGCTGAGGCAGGAGGATCGTGGGTTCTAAGCCAGCCTCAGCAACAGCAAGGTGCTAAGCAACTCGGTGAGACCCTGTCTCTAAATAAAATACAAAATGGGGCTGGTGATGCGGCTCAGTGGTTGAGCGCTCCTGAGTTCAATCCCCATCACCCCCTCCAAAAAGAACTCGAGAAATTTTGCTACAAGTGGGAAATTGAGGTTGCTTAAATATTTATAGGAAGGGTCCTATGGAGAAATAAAATGTTGAGGGTTCAGAAGAAAAATGGGTGTATTTTTAATTCCTCCTGCCATGCCTCAGTTTCCCCATTTGCTATCTCTAGTGAATTCCCCTTTCCACTCAAAAGGCAAGTAAACCATCAGAGATGCAGAAAGCAGGAGGGACCTGGTGTGGCCACTGAGACGCCTGGTTCCTGCACATGCGCTCACCTTGGAGTCTTCTCAAATGAGGATCCCTCCCTCACTGTCCTCAAGCCAAAGAGAGAGAGAGTCCCTGAGATAGGTGAGAAAAAGCTTGCTCCCTCAAACAGCACCCCGCCATCCAGTAGAGGGGCTCTTCCCGCACTCTCCACCCACCATACCACAGTGGTAAAAACCCTCTGTGTCAGAAACGCCAAAAGGAAATTTTAATCCACATGCCCCAAAGATGTGCCCCCAAACCAGTGAAATCACTAGCAAGTCATTTTCTTGCAGTTTGCTCATTTGAAACAACGCTAAAATAGGGAAAGTACCGTTTTTGTTTTTTTTTTTTTTTGCCTACTCAGCATCCACCTCCCCTTTGTGGCCAGGGGCAGCTCAATTTTCCTTTGGGGAGGGGCCTCTTCCTCACTCACAGGGAGCTTCAGGGGAGGTCCCAGGACGCAGAGCTGGCCAATCAAAGCAAAGCGTTTCTCCTGACCACAGTGATTGGCTCAGGGATGAGCAGATGATGCAAGCTAAGCCAATGAGGTTCAATCCTGGAACTTTTACTGGACTCTTGCAAACAGGACACCTTCTTTTCTGATGAGGATGCTAAGCTCCTTAACTTCCGGAGGCCACAACTGACCATGAAGGAAGAGCTTGCATGAGAATAAAACCAATACACAGGAAAGAACGGAGTCCAGAACCAAGAAATACAGAGAATTGGTGCTATGACTTGAGTCCCTAGATCCTGTCATTCCTGAAATTCGCTGCCCTAGAGCATTCAGTTTCAGAGGTCTATAATTTTCTCTTTTTCCTAAGTCAGTTAAATTGAATCACTGTCGCTTCAAACTGATATTTTTTGCCTAATAGCAATGGTAAGCTCTTAGAAAAATCCAGAGTGTGTAAACCCTAATCCTTCAATCAATGTAAATTACTGATGACCCAGCACTTACTGAGCACCTTCTGTGTGCAGAATTCTGTGCCAAACTCTCAAAATGGTATCATACCATTTTATATAGCACTTCACCTCTGACCTCAGGAGAAATAAATGAAACATTCACAAAACTAGGTGTCTAGTATCGAGAGAGGTAAGTAGGGTTGGAGGAGAGAGAGAGAGTTCTATTTGCTACAGCAATCAGAGAAGGCTGAATGTCTCCTGGAGGAGACGTTTTTACACTTGATCTTCATCAAAAGGCTGAGGAGTGATTGAGGAGACATTTCTTTCAACATTGGACAAGATGCAGAAGAGGGCATGTTGGTCCAGGTGAGAGGGTGTGCGTGTGTGTACTCAAATGATTTTTCCTTCTTGCTCTCCTACTTCTGTAGGAAAAAGTCTGTTGTTTTCCTTCTAATGGTTACCATTTTAAACCCTAACCTTTAAACAGTACCTTTAGTCATTCCTTTTTAAATTCCTGTCTCATGGTTCCCTACAGTGAGGGATATTAGAAATTAAGCCATTAGACTATCTTTCTCTTCTCTCCCTCTCCCCTAGCATCAAATATGAAGAAATATTCATTTGCTTCCAGTTAAGAAGTCATTCTATGATGTGGTGGCGCACACCTATAATCCCAGCGGCTTGGGAGGAGACTGAGGCAGGCGGATCATGAGTTCAAAGTCAGCCTCAGCAACTCAGTGAGACACTGTCTCAAAATAAAAAATAAAAGGGGTTGGGGATGTGGCTCAGTGGTTAAGTGCCCCTGTATTCAAACCCTGGTATGGGCAGGAGGGAAGTCAATCTATGAAATTATTCTGTGATACTTCTCCTGTATTCTTTCTAATTTTTATTTTTTATTTTTTTATTATTATTATTATTATTATTAGTTGTTCAAAACATTACAAAGCTCTTGACATATCATATTTCATACATTTGATTCAAGTGGATTATGAACTCCCATTTTTACCCCGTATACAAATTGCAGAATCACATTGGTTACACATCCACGTCTTTCTAATTTTTAATACACAGATTTTATATGCATTATTAGAACAAACCAACACATCAGGTTCTGTCCTACACCCATTCTACTCTGTGGTGACTATAAATTAAATGAGCATCCCTAGGCCTTCCATCAAAACCTTGCCAGTTATTTTGGTTATCTGTAGCTTGTTTTCTAGTAAATTTCTCTGGAGAGCATCATGGGAATAGGTCCTGGGTTCTTGTATGTGCATAGTATTTCATCTGTGGCTTTCATACTTGAAAGTCCATTGGGCTGCATGTTAAATCCTCACTTCTCTTTTTCTGACCATCTGAAATAAGTTTTTTTCCAGCACTAAGTGCTGCTGTAGAAAAGACTGATTGCCAATCTAATTAGCTTCTCCTTAAAATGCACTTTTTCTTTTTGTCTGGATGCCCAATTGAGTTTTCTCTTCTCTCTTGGCGGCCCAATAGTTCTACTGGACCATGTCTTAATGTTGACTGTTTTGGGTTGATTTTTCTCATGTTTGTGGTGTGCTTCTTCAAGATCAAGTTCACATCCTTCTGCACTCCCCTGTCCAGTGCAGTGCTATTCAAGATAATCAAGAAATGGAAAAAAAAAAAAATCTAAGTCTTCATCAACCGATGAATGGAAAAAGAGATTGTGGTACACAGACATCATAGAATACTATTCAGCCATAAAAAGGATGAAATCCTGTCATTTGCAGCAATGGACATAGAACTGGAGAGTGCTATCCTAAGTGCAATGAGCCAGGCCCAGAAAGACAAGAACTACATGATCTCCCTCATGTGTGGAATCTAAGATTGTTGATTTCATAGAAGTTGAGAGTAGAATGGTGGTTACCAGAGGCTGAGGAGAGTAGAGGGTGGGAGGGATGGGGAAGGACTGATCAACAGGTTCGTAGCTGCAGTGAGGAGTAAGAAATTCTGGTGGGATATTGTACAGCAGGACAACTACAGATAACAATATGTACTGAGCATTTCAAAAAACTAGAAGAAAGTTTTCACCATAAAGAAACGACAAACAGTTGAGGAGTTGGATATGTTTACCTTCATTTAAGCATTACACGATGTATATATG